CAAGCATATAACTGCCTCTTTTTTATACTCACACCATTACTTACCTATAAAAGGGACTCTGTATTTTTCTGCCAACTCATTCCTAAAGATTAGTATTGGTATCTTGGGATGCTCATTTGCTCTGCAAAAATTAGTTTTTTAAATAGACTGAACCAGAAATCTCACTTTTATTGCACTGCCCTGATACAGTAGAGCTCAGTTATTAGAACAAATTGGAGCAAGCCGCTTCCTGGTTGTTATACCCACATAATTACTACAGGCTGATATGTGAAACCATGATTCACTCTTGTGCTTAGAGGCGAGATCTCCATTTTGCAAGGACAGAGCAAGTTCTATTATGCATTTTACTGCCAAAGGAGGTCAATTAAGTTTAATTGGTTCTAATTAGCACTTGCTCAAGCTGTTATATTCTTTACCTGCATCCGAGTGGCTCTCCAAGTGCTGCACAATGGATTCCTGCTTTTGAACACAAAGAGGAATTACTAATGGCATCCTTGAAGGCAAAAGATGCACTGATCAGCATAAATGGGGAACAAATATCAGCACAAATAGTAGCAGGCCTTTTTAGAAAAAAACCACAAACATTTCATCCCCATCTGGCTTTGATCAATTGAACTGAATGCAACTGTGCACCTTGTTGTTTAAAGTTATAACACAGAAAGTACACAAATGTAATTATTCTCTACCATAACTTCCTTACAGCTGAAAGACAAGTACTGGAGAAAGGGGTGGGGGGGAGCATGGAGGGACAGTGTAACAGCTTTGAAAAAATAAACAGATCATTTCAATGGTAGCTAAGACAAAATACTAAGAAAAGGAAAAAAAAAATCCTCAAACACGTACATCTTGAAATGCTTTGATTTCTAGGATTTTTGAGGATTGTTTTATAAGGTTTGTGTTTAAGTGCCAGGTTTGTTTTTTTGGTCGGTTTTTTGTTTTGTTTTTTTTTTTTAACATTCTGCTGCAGAGAGAGGAACAACCTCACTTGCCTAAATGTCAGCGTAAGCCATTTCAGTCCTCAGGATGCGGTGAGAAGCCAGCATCGAACTCAGGATGGTCTACGACAGGCTGAATGAGGAGTCACATGCCAGTAGAGATGCTGCAGGGCTGAGGTGCACTCTAGGAACTTCTTGGCTGCTGGGGTCTTCCTGGATGTAGCTACACAGTTAAATAAAGGCAGGCTGGAGAGCAATCTAGTCCTCACGTCAACACTAGAGCTCAGAGCTATCTCTCCTCAAATCCCCAGTCCACATTCACAGCATGTAGGCATGGCCCTACATCTCCTCTGGATCTCATGAGATGTCTCTAAGTCATACCTGTTATTTTGGGTGGAGGAGCGGTTGGCATGGCAAGAGGCCAGTCTGAAACAGAAGCAGGGAACAAGCTAGAAACAGCAGAGCAGATGTTTGGAACCACTACTCGACTGTGTTCCCTTGTCCCCTCTTAACTAATAAGGCATATATCCAGCCCCTCAATGCATGGAGAGCATTACATGCCCCCCCCCCCCCCGCACCACTGTGCCTCTTCTTCTCTTGCACCCCCCCATGCCAGGCACCCCAGATCCAGCAGACAGCAGCAGCACTGAGTACACAGACCATATAGCAGAACAGCACCAAGACAAGGACTGGGCAAGGTGGTCCTAAAACGTGAGACTTGCCTGACTAAGTGGTCCCAATGTGAACTGCCACAATGCCTAACTCATTGGAGACCTTCCCTGCTGTGAAAAACTTCATCCTCAGCGAAGTACGCTGCCTCTATGTACATGATGCCTACAAGGTGCCTAGCAAAGGGATCCACTGACACCCGCTGAGCCTGAAGCCACATGTTGTTTCCAAGCTGGAGACTGCTGGGGTGCAAGCAGCCAGGGCTGGGGGTTCATACACCCTGAGCATGCTCCAGTCCCACCAGCTTGGATTAACCGCACATTTAAAACAAAGTACCAGATTTAGTGTCCTGAGGGTCTAGGCCTCCTATGGACTTTGGATAATTTATTTTGGTATGGAAACCAAAACCAATGAAGCTTATACCTATTATCAATGGTTCAGAATTACATGTGACACTGTAGTGGACTTGGCTGATTCTAAGGCAATGTATGTGTTCCTTTTTTAAGTATTACTCTTTGCTATCTTTCCTGCTATTTGAATGTACCTCCTAAATGAATTGTCCGTTGCCCACGTGGTTTTAAAAAATAATTTATTTTTAGCTAACATGTTCCAGATAGATGGAACACAAAACGTGTTAAAAAAATAAAAATTAAATTAAAAAATCCTCCCCTCAGCAAACAAGTTCCCCCCAATCTTTACAAAAGAAGGCCAACTTTTTTCCTTCTAGTTCCCCTGCTAAATTTCCACAAGGCCATTAATCATAAAAAATCCAAACTCCATAAATTGTAGAAAAGCCAAAGGAGCTGCCTGTATTTTTAAAAAAAAAAAGTTCCTGCCAGAATCTCTCCCGACCCAATTACCTTTTGTCTGTCAGTTGCGAGGACTCTTTCTCAGCCTCAGTACACACCTTTTCTCCTGGCTGGCAATGTATGGGCTGAGGCAAGCATAAACCAGCATATCATTATTTCAAACACTCATCTCTTCCTTTTGCACTGGTGTATAGTTAAATCAATGTACTTAAAACTCTCCATACTTCTTTTCTTTTGTACTTTTGCCAAGGAACTGTGTTTCTGTTGTATTTCAGGTGACAACCAAAAGTTATTCAAAAGGTTTACTGACTTGGATAAGGACTTGAGAAATAATAAATAACAAAAAAGAAAAGTCTGTTGTTTGCATCACTGAAATGGCTGCCAATACAGCAATACACCACTGAAGCACATGTAACAATTTATTATTTGGTCCTTCAGCCCTCCTGCATCTAAAATTGAGCATATATTCAATGCAAAGATTGAGAAAAATTGACCTAGCATCTATCTATGTGTTCTGGGGATATTCTGTACTGGGTTGGCAGCAGCTCCACCAGTACAAAACCCCAAGTCCAAGGGTTCAGACCCACTGAACACAGGTCTGACATGTCCACTACTTTATGGGCTTTAAGCAAAGTAAGCTGTGTACTTGCGGTCCTTACTGTACATTGAGATAGTACGTCTACAAATGGAGGATGTATCACTAGAATAGCTGTATCAGTGTAATTACATTGGTACAACTATTCTCAATATAGACAGGACCTTAAACAGAAATCCCTATGACAGGCAATGTTTACCACTGGCCTATTTATAAGACAGCTCTTAACTTAGTTCAAAAACCAGCATATAAAATGTTCCTTGTTACCTGTAAGTGGACAGTGATGATTATAGCTCAGTCTATGTTATTATTGCCTGATTTTCCCAGTTTGGATTTTCACATATTGACTCCTTACTCAAGGTCTTTTAACATAGATTTGAAATGTGAATATGTTTTATTTTTTCCCCAGTAAATATACAATACACACTTCAACAGTACTATTAACCAACTTTTTATGCCAATTAAATTTTGCTGCACTAACAATACCAATGAAACACATTAAGAGGTCATACTTTTTCGTGAACAAACTGTAGCCAATAAACAGTTTTTTAAAAAAACAAATTAAAAAACAATTCTAAGTGCTGCCACAACATCCCTTTTCTTTAAACACATTATTCACAATAAATGTTCTCAATTAGAAAAAAAAAAGAAGAATACTTCTTTTAAAATAGTAAATTAAATGGCATTTTAAAAAATATGTACTGTGGTTCATTGGAAGTACACTGTATAGAAAACAGAAAAAAAAAAGACGAGACATCACCTGTAAGATAATGGAGACACTTTGCGATACACAACACCACCTTATGTAATATTGTAAGCAAATTATTAATGAACAAAAATGTACAGAAGCAGATGGACAAGTTAGTGAATATCATGGTACTGCAGAGCTTTAATACTGACACACATTTACTTTCCAGTGGAAGAGATAAAACACATATCTGAAAGTAATTGGGATGGCTTTATCAACGTCTAATGATACTGAATTTTGAAAATAATATAGTAAGGTGTTCCACCAAAGCTCAGCACAAGCTTTTGAATTAAAAGGGAAAAATAATTCTACCAGTGACTGAGTTAAACATTTTCCAGAGAATTAAATTTGAATTGTACCCTGAATAGTCTTCTCTTCATATGATAATACCAAAATAAAAAACATACATATGTAAATATGATGCCTTCTTTATCTTGCTTGAACAATTTTTGCACATTTTTACGTAATGGTTTTAACTATAATGGTTTAACAAGCAGGAAAATTACATATATTAATTGGTCACATATATAAATAAATGCATACATTTTTTTCTCAACTTTTTTTGGTTTGTAACCTGCTAAATAAGAGTCTTGACCTTAAGGAAGTTAACTAGCTTTTTTTTTAATATTCAGTAGTGCTGAGTTATAGTTGATGGCTGTAGTGTTTTATCTTATCATGGAACAAGTTAATGAAATGAAAAGCAACACATATTTAGCACTGTAATTTACCTTTCTAAAATTCTGCCATTACTAATTCTTAATACTGGTGAGCTCCAAGGCAATATATAAAACAACATAGACTGGTTATATGAAAAGGGTATTCAAATGGAAACTTGTGTTCATGGTCAGATAACTAACAGAAATAAGCTGTAGGATGCAATATTTAAATTAAGCATCAAATGAGTGGGCTATCCACATACAATATTCTAAGAAAAGTTTGACAATTTACTCATTGAGATTTGAGAGGTACAGAAGATTTGGACAAAGTCATGAAAATTAATGAAGAGACAGGATGCTGTCATTAATGTCCACTTACAGAGTCTGGTTTATTCAAAAAGTGTATAAACATGCGTTATTTCCTCATCATAGTAGTGTTTGAAGACACTCACTAAACCACAGGTCAAAGATTTTCTTTGCTTATATCCAACTTTTTGGATGTATTGTATTGCCATAAATGTACTTAATGCAAGTCGAAAATAATTTGACTGTTGCTTTCTTTCCAAACATCATTTTACTACAAATTTAGTGGATCCAGCTTCAGCTCTCACAGACTTCAGGTAACAGAACACAAAGGTTTGTTTAGACTGCATCAAAACAATTAATGTCATGAATTTCAGTGGTGCAGCTCTATCCTCTACTGTACTATACATGTATTGGAAAGATGAAATAAGATACTCTGATATTTCAATTTTTTGGAAGCAGCTTGAATATGTCTCAACAATAAATTGCATCCTTAACTACTTACTAGGTATTTCTTGAGTTTATATTATTTGTTTCTCCTGGAAATCTGTCTTATATTTTGGGTTGGAGAAATTAATAGTAATAATTCTTTTAAAACTGCAATATAAAACCAGCTTTAGTGAAACACCTTAAGTTCTTTTGTTTGTAACAAGGTTTGTTTTTCTTCCCCTTCATTTCATGGCATGGGATGGCTAAAAACAGATACTAAGGGCATCATTCTAGTGAAAGGGTCTAGGCCATCTCATGCTACCTTTAATTTTCATATTCATTCTTTAATCTCACACTTCCAACTTCTGACCCTTTCTTAAATAGGAAGAACAACTATGTTGCTTGCTTCTAAAGGATTTAAATCTGTCTCTAATGTCTTCACTGACATCAGTTTTGCCTGTCACTTTCTCATTTCTACACCCCAATGGAAAACCACCTAACACACTCCTTTACATCCAGCATCATCTGAAGTAGCTTACAGTATGTAAACCTTCACACATTCAGTCTCTTTTTTCTTCATGTCATGAGGAGTAGAGTTTTGTGCTTATCACCAAATAAAATTGCAGTGCAAACTTTAAACATAAAAGTTACACAATTAAAAGTTCATATATGGCACCACAGCCTATTAATTCACATATAGTACAACCGACCAATAAAAACAGACATGAATATGAACATAGCCAAAAAGAAGGTGAGCTTGCATAGCAATGCAACAAAAGAAATTATATACAGAAGGAAATCCTTTTCATCCTGGAGGGTGATTTTTTTTTCTTTTTTTTTCATATACTCCTGACAAGGAATAGTTTAAGGTGGATGGTGTATTAAAGAGAAGAACACAAGTAAGGTATCTGTGGAATATGTGTGGCTGTGTGTCTTTACATTGCATTTACAGTTCTTTTAATAGTACATAAATAAAGAAAATGTTCATTGCACTGTTTAGTGTCATCACTTCCATGAGTTCAGACCTGATGGTCCATCAGAGCAGCTTGCAGTGTGTCTTCTCAACTACTCTATAGAGAGAAACAAAGAGAGAGAAAGAGGTTGTAATAAGGAGAAAAAACACAAAACAAAGCCTATGGCAATATTACTGCAGCACAGGATGAATATTCAATAGGTTGGGAGAAAAGAGTTAATTGCTTCTAAGATGAAAAGCAATGGATGCTAAAATTCAGCACTTACCAACACCATATCTGAGACAGCACATTTCAGGGTTTGTGGATCAGCATTAGCTCTTTTACAAGCTACTGGGCAGTAACTGTCGGGAGGTACTGAGGGTCTGACTGCAGCAAATAGGAGGCAAACAGGCCAACAGATACATTGCTTTTACTAATAGACATACCAGTATGCCTGAGCTAGCTGGGAGGTTGGTGTACTACTTCAAACATAGAGTCAAACCCTTTGGCATCTGGTACTACCATCACGTACACAGCATTAACAAGGTTTTATACCAGGTTTAATAGATATTGAGTGATAATAGGAAGAAGTTTGGAAAATAATTCCCCTGGCCTGGGAAGCTGAGGAAAGAGTTGGGATATACAACTGAAAAACTGGGCTACACACTCAAAGAAAGAGGACCTCCATCTACGGTCAAAAAGAGCAGACTACTGCTCATCAAGCAACAGAAAGTTAAGGAGAAGGCATCACAAGCTTGCCACTATGCCCCACAAATTCAGCACCCTTTTCATTCACTTTTCTAAGAAAAACTGCCAATGGCATTTCCAAGACAAGCACACTACACTTTGCCAAGAAAATTCTGAATTACTAGAATTTCCTTTCAATTTCCCCAGTGTTTCACTAGCATTACACACTGAAAGATGTCCTATGTAGATAATGTTGGCGTGGCTTACAGATTTGAACTGGTCCAAACCAAAGAGCAAAAGAACTTAATTTGTTTGTCATCACAGGCAAAACACCTCAGAAGGCAAAAAGATCCAGGTCAAATTTAATCTGACTACCACACTCAACTTCCTCCTCTCTTCACAACAGATTTATAATTTTTTTCTTTTTGTCTATTTGAGAGTTTGAACTGAGCTAGAGATAAACTTACATAATTCACCAGTAAACTGTCCTTGACTGTTTGATCCCACATAGCCTACATTGAGAAGGTCACTGGCATTGCGTTGGTGACCTCCTCGCAAGACTTCACCTTTTCTAGGTCCAGTTGATCCTTTAGAAGAAGCTGTTCCTGAAGAGCTGTGGCCGCCAGGGGATGGGAAGTTGGGTTTACTATATGGTACGAGTGCCTCTTCTAGAAAAGCAAAACAAAACAAAACAAAACAAAACAAAACCCAAATAAATTCCTATAAACAGGCTATTCTTATATGGACATAATTTTCATTCCTGCCCTCAGATATCTGTCTTTTGTCTTGCTTTATAGCATCAAAATTTTACCTAAGAAAATAGACAACTCAGTGTTGTATCCCACAGACAAGGAAACCAGAATGAATTTAGTCTTGTTTTCATGTAAACTCATAAGTTTAATTAATTATAAAAAGTTTAGATTCATTATGAAGTAATAGATCATGAATCATAGATACTTTAATAAAAAAAGATTCACATACAATTTCCCAAACAATGCAGCTATGATTAGATTTTTGCTTCAAGCCTACATGAATGTGCTTTTTCCTTTTTTTAGCTTAAATTATGGTAATATTACCACAATCAATTTAGATAAAGAACTACAATATCAGCTAATTTAATTAGCTTCCAGCAGCTCAGTAATTTCTAACGATGCGAAGTACACTGAAGATTTTTTTTAACTGGTTGTGAATTACATTGGAAAATATTATATCATACATAGTATTAATAGTTGTAATATTTGGGGTGAGTAAATCTTCCTGCAGCTTGCTTCATGTTACATTATGAGCAAAAGGCTTACTTTTGCTCACTTGACTTCTTCCTCTGTGAAGACCTGTAATAACGAACTGCTTGCGAGAGCATGATTAATACCAATAAAGCATAGGACTGTATGTCTTCATATAGGATGAAGTAAAACAAGACATCACATCTGATTAGAGCTTCTAGGACATATTGTTGTAATAATCCTAACCTAAGAAGCAAAACAGCAGCACTGATTTAACACTGAAATAGAAGCACTGTTTTACTTCTTTGCTGTGTATGATCCACTTTTGCTGTCTGAGAAGCTGAAGAAAGAGACCTTGCTAAATATAGTTTGATTCAAGAAAGAATATGAGTATATATGCTTAACCTCAAACACAGGAATTGTCCCTTCTGAAATCAGTGGGATATCTCCTGCTTGAATCTTAAATTTTTTAAAGTGAATCTGAAAGGAGTTCCTTTATTTTGCTTTTCCTATTATCTTCACTCCTAAACAACCTGATGAGGAGAAACAGACTTTCTTTGACAGAGGGCAGGAACACAGAAGGAAAAGTAGGTGAGGATGGTTGGAAAGAAAGAGGAGATAAAAATGTTTTTATTCACAATCTTGAAGCCTTTGCAAAGGCTGCAGCAGCAGTGCAATTAACTTAGGGAAATGCCAAATGAGAACAAATTTGTGGAAGAAACCCAGGATTCCATTCTTTGTGCCTGCTGCCACAAGTGAATCTGTTGCAGAAGAGGGCAGGCAGCTGACTTCTTTCTCTGCCAAAGTATCTCCCTCTGGCCCTGCCCAAGGGACCAGAATACTTCCGCTGCAGGACGTAAGGGCATTATTAGTGTTTTGTGCTATCCTTGCTGAAATATAAAGACATGCTTAAAAGACATAGTAAAATGGCATTTAACAGCCATAGCCTCCTAAATTATGTTACTTGTTCTTTATATATCAAGCTCTGACAATAGAATCAGATCCAAACCTGGTTTCCAAAGGCTGGCTAAAATACGGAACAGCTTGCATTAAGGCAGCAATAAAGCAAGCAGCATAAATCAGTTTAGCAGAAAGCTGGATACATCTTTAAAGGATGGAAAGAAAAGTCACTAGCATTGCAAAAGAGTTTGAAGCTGACATATATGGTCAATTGATTTGTTTTTCTAGTTTGTGGACTCAGGATAAGGCCTCCTTCGGGTTCAATGAAATATTGAGAAAAAACGACCATGAATAAATATAAAGTGCATTATCATTATAGAGCATATGGTGTGTTAAATTATCTGTTGTGCCCTCAGAAATAAATACAATCCATAAAATAAGCAAACGTGACACAAAATAAAGGCTAAGTTTTTCACAACATTCTAGCACATGAAAAGCAGTTGTCTCAAGTCCTTAGAATGGGCTCACATTTATTAAACACTCAAAACACTGCCCCATGCCCCAGGCCTGAAAAGAATATGGGGAGCCTTTGCCAATGCCTTTCTCTTTGAAATACTGAGCCTCTGATTTGAAGATACAATTCTAGCCCCTGTGAAATCAGGATATATGTGTGTAATGATGTTTCTATACCCCATAAGATAACCAAAAGGCTTTTAATATTATCAAAACTATTGTAACTTGATCTAGCATTACTTTTCTAGAGGGGTAGCTGAGAATGTTGTATTTGATGTGCTGTAACTGCGGTTCCACAATGAAGCCATTGGCAGGAACTCAGTGATCTTGTTTATAATGAAAGCAACCAGTGGAAACATGGTTCCCAGAATTAGGTATTTTTATTCTGTTCAACTTCAAACCAAAGGTCTTGCTTTCAAAATCTCACTCACAGCTTGGTAATGTCTGAATGAAGCACCCAAAGCCGCAAAATAGATATTTTCTGGAAGCTGATAGCTAATAATAACTCCTTTTGGAAACACATTGAAAACTGGGACACGGCAGATTTCCAGAGATCTTTGTCATTATAAAGGAAGAGAAGTATAACTAATATTATTAAACCCCCAGAATTTTGCAATATAAACAAGCATCACCCACAAAAGTAGCCTTTTTAAAATCTGCCAGAGAAAAGAATACAGAGCAAGAAAACTGTAGTGCAAGAAGCTGGGATAAGAAGACAGATAGACAGATATGAAGCTCTGGCCCACCTTGTGCACAAACTTTATGAACCCTTCCCACCAAGGTAAAACTGTAGTATCTCCTAGAGGAATCCTCTATAATGCATAAAGGATATGCAATTGGTCTGTTCATCCTAAATTTGACAAGAACAAGATACCTGTAATCACTCCAGCCCTAAATTCAATGCTCATGTAGGGCACTGGAAGTGTCAAGATCAAGTTTTTTTTTATTTAAGGACAGATAAATACAAGTCCTGCAGGATGGGAATTTTACTACTCTATACCCTCTGTATCACAGAATAACTGACAACTTCTATTTGTACACTTATGAAGCAGAGGAAAAGGAGGGGAGTTCTTGATAACCAGGCCAGAGAAGCATCCTTAAAAATAATTTACAAAGAAATGAGATGTATAAAGTATATTCGGGCTATTTTCCATGTGTTTGTACATCTTGTACATTGTAATTAAAGTTGCTGTTTCACCAAGTAGCATGAATTTCACACGCTGTTATTAAACTGTGACTTCACATCATCATTTCACAACATGAACAAGCACTCACTTGTTTATGCAGCTGAAAGATTAGGGGGTTTAATGGTATCATTACAGTTGTATTTTAAAATATGGATTGTAGTCAAAATATTTACATTTTAAATATGGGTAGAAATATTAGGAGAATTTTATTCAGTAAATCCTGCCCCCATCACAGGTTTGCCTGCATGCTACTATTTTTTGTTTTACTGTGGGAGCTACATACATACTTGAAGAAACAGTGTAGCGCTACAGAAAGCTCCATGTACAGTATGGTTTGGGTTTTTTTTAATCTTCTTAATTGTTCTCTTGTATCACTCTAATCAGCACTGGGGTAACATGTGATTAGTGGGTTAAAGAAAATACCTAGTAAGGGGACCTGAAACAGCAGCTTTTACTTGAGGTCAGGCTGAGAGAAGGAATCTGCCAATATTGTAGAACTACAACTCTAGCTCAGCATCGTCTCCCACACACATTTTTACAGACTTGAAATCCATTTAGAAGATAAAGTCAGCACTCGGCAATGAACAGGTCCTGTATAAAGGTGAAAACCTGTGCTGTTGTCTTGCTGGGCCTAAGAGTTGAATGTTACTTTGTCATATCCTTGAGTAAGGAGAAGACACTGTTTTAAATACAGCTGGAAGGAATGTCAGTAGTTCAGAAGGATCAGCCTTCTTGCAGACATGCAAAAACAACTCCTGCCAATTTAGAAGCAGGTTGAAACAACTAGAAAATATAGCCCTGTATGTATAAATAAATATATCTAACAGAAAATACTCTAAAAATCTGTTTCTCCTTCCCTGCCTGCCTGAAACTGTTCCTGTTTTTTCCATCGCTCTGCTTGACAACATTATTAATTGCCCAAACACTGTAAAGAATGCACCAAGTCAGGCGCTAATGAGATTTCACTGTTGCAGGAGGGAAAACACTTGGATCACAAGCTCTCATTTCACTTTGCCTTTTCTTACTCTCCAGCCTGAGCCTCATCAGTGCTGGCGCCGAGGGGCATGAGGTGATCCTAGGCTCCTGCCAGATACAGAAACCCTCAGCTGAGAAGTGTCAAGAAGCCGTCTGCCCTGCCTGGGCTAGTGCAGCGCACACACACCTGATCCGAATGCTTGTTTGTGTTGGGCTTTCCTGAAATCCTCTTGGCGGTCTGTAGAGCTTATCCACTCCTGGGTTTGCCGCTGCCACTCTAGTGACGTCCTAGCTTGCCGGTCCAGGGAGCTCTTTGTTTCATCTACGTTCGGTGCATGCTGCCTCTCAAGAGAGCTTCCTTTCCTCTCTGCCGAGCCTCCGCGCTGGCCGGGGACTATTTGCTGCCTTAAACCCTGACCAGGGGGCGGGTCAGGTGGTGGTGGAAGATCTAAAAAACGTGAATAAGATTTAGATGAACTAAGTTTTTAGTTGAAACAGAAGGTCTATTTGACACTGAAAAGAAAAGTCCCTTGCAAATGGCATGAATCACTTAATTTGCTGATTTTAAAAGGAGGAAATTTCATGTTAATCAGAAATGTGGTTTTAACTTCTGCTAGTTTTTTATTTAGGTTACTGTGTTAGCTCTTTCTAACTTCCAGAAAAATCAATAGACTCTGAGCCCTGACTTACAGTTCTAAGCATGGGATTTATTTTCTGTGGGGTATACTCCAGCTGGCTCTTTCAGTAACAGCAAGCAATTAAGAAAGGCTATGAAAAACTGATCTGTGCCAGTTGATGATTTCCCCCCCTCATATTGGGGCTTGCTTCATCATCCCCATTTTTGGGCTTCACTTTCAGCTTGAGGTTTAAACTCAAAATCTAAATATACAACTTCATCAAAATGAATAAAATTCCAGAAAAAAAATTGGGAAAAATTATTCACAAAACCTACTGTCATTGAAAAAGCATCAACACATCTGTGAAAAATACATGTTTAAATGGAACCACCAAACAACCGGTGAGCATTTTACTCAAGTACTATTTGAAAGTTCAGCCAAGAGCTAGAGTCTTCACAGACAAGAGGAGGGCCACTCTTAAGTTTAGCAGTCTTGCAAATATAACCAGTCAAAACACAATTTCAGCTAAACGCTGAAAGATGCTTGCCTGGTCTCTAACAACTCCTGTCCTTTTCAAGTTTATCACTTGGACTACTAAGATGCTTGTAGAATTGAAAATCAAGCTTCTAATCACATTTGTGGAGGCAAAAGTACATTTTGTTTATTAGTCCTTGACCCAAGGTAATTATAGAGTCGGGATAATTATAATCCTAAATGTAAGATTTTCATGTAAACTATATGATAGACTAATAGTAGTCCAGAAAAGACTCAGATTATTTAAAAAAAAAAAAATCAGAAAAGGGAAGCACCTTTAGTATTGTAATGAAAACTCTATCATAGGGGATACCCATTTTATATATAGAACACTTGTTGATGATTCTGGTTTTGGGAAATGCATATCCCAAATAAATCTGCGCAGCCCCACCAACTTCACTAAACCGATGTTAGTTACACTAGATATTGGTCTGTTCTGCTTTCTAGTCTTTTGTACCTTACAGTGTTGTGAAGGTTTATCAAGGAATTGAACTTGTCTCAATTAACAGGCATGGAAAAGTAAACCTCTGCTTTGCCTGCAGGAAAGTCTGATGTTTATAACTCTAGTGAAACTGAAATTCATTGTATAAATTGGTGAGGAGGCCTCTGGAGGGAATTTATTTCAAAGTCTGTAATCCAGCTTTATATAATGCTACACAGACTTTTTTTCATGCCCTTGCTGTTAAAAGTGATACTTACACCTCATATTTGGGGCAGAAATGCTTCTAAAGTTGCTGAGATGTCACTCCAGTCAACATTGTCTCTTACAGATAAATGAGGACATATGGGTTATTTGTGTCTACAAGGGAAAGAGGTTGTATCTGATGTTGCTCCCGTACCTTTGTTCACAGCTGAAGCGCTATACCCCAGATCAAGATATCTACCTTCTGGCTAGAACAGCCTTATAATAATCTGTCAGTGAGCTTGGTGTACGCTCTATGTTCAGCACTAATTTATTCGAGAAATTTTCACTTATGAATATAGATGTGACCTTTCATGACAATGACTATACTTGAGTTACTGTAGGTGGAAGCAGGAGGGTATGGGAGCTTGCCAATGTTAAAATTGCTTTATAGTGTTGGCTTCTAAAACGGCATTTCTTATAATTGATTTTATTGCGATCATAACCAGTTAATGTACAGAACCACAATGCGGGCATCTGCTTATGCAATCTGAAATAGATATTACTGAAGTTGTGATTTATAAGCACTTTACGGAGATGCACTGAATCCAATAAACACAGTCCTAACTTGACATCTGACAATGTAATTTTCCAAGATAAAATATTTACTGTTGAATATAAACAAAATTTTTAAGTAGTATCATAGAAAAAAGTAAGAATTATTGCAGTATTAAACTTCTTAACATACAGTACCCTTCTTCAGGAATTGCCTTCTAATAGCTGTTATTAATTAGATACTGAGAAGGAAAGAAGCTTTGTACTTAAACCATACTGCATGTTCTACAGCTAGCTGCAATTCCTGGAATTACTGTAGACTTACACTGCTGCTTTACTGTTAACCTGATTCTTGCTTTTATCCATCTGCAAAATGGTCCTAGTGATTGCCTTATGCATAAAAATTAAATGAAAAAACATGTTTGTAAAGTTCTTTGGTTTTTTTAGACCTGTGGATGAGTTGAAGTGAAAAATAAAGTTTATCTTCTAATGAAGCTTCACCCAATTCTAGAAGAATGACAGGTAGACAGAATTAATGTAAGCTGGCTCCAGCCTAAGTAAAAACTTACTGAACTGTGTTAGACACGTCTGAGAAGATCTGTAAGGACAGTTACTAATTCCAGCCAACCATCACCTGACTAAACCATTTGCTTTTTCACCTTCTTACTCAGTTTGATAGTCATAGTAACACCTAACTTTCCTTTTTAATAAAAAAAGCTGGAAGAGAGCTTCATTTGGAAATATGTTTTTTATTTGCTCTACAGCTTAAATCCTGTAGTGCAAATCTTCTGCCTTAGGTAAATTACTAAATAAGCTCTGTTATCTCATCTGGGCATATTATAAAGAACCCATGTATCTGGAGTAATGAGTTTCTTCCTCCAATGCCACAAGAGAACAATCTTGCCTTTCCTTTCTTCTCCTCTCCTCTCACTTCCCAGCCAAACATGTCCATATGTGACCATGCACATGTCTCCACACACACTTGCAGGTATGCACATACATGATGGTTAATGGTTGGCATTTTGACCGCTAGTAAAGCGGTAACAGAGATCAGACAAGCTAGTAGGCTCAGTCCCTAACAGGCAGACTTATTACCACATAGAGGCAAGCCAACTCATTCCATCATATCAATAACTTCAGAGAAGTTTTGAATCTAGAAATGTAAGGACTTCAGCAGGATTTTCAGTGAGGATACCCAGAGTGGTATCACTGATTACCACTATACTTCCATCTAAATGACATTTATCTTCCAGGTGCCAGGTAAAACACCTGAAAACCCACATTGAGCTACAAACTTACTAGGCCAGTGGGATGTTATCCAGACTACTACCTGCAGCCTCTAATGGCAGGATCATCAAACCTGCAAGGCAATTTATAAGTGCATTGGCGGAGAGGTGATGGTCTTATTGATTTAGTAATGGAGGGATTGTGATTGAGAAGCTGTAGGACATCAGAGTGTCTGATAAGAGGCAGATGAATGGTCAGCCTGCAATTACTCCAGCCCTCCTTTAGAAGGTAGAGCATTGGCCAAATGATTCAGGCACCAGTCAAGCTTTGGCACAGCCTCTCATTATTAACAGGAAAAAACAGCAAGTTACAGAACCTACAAATATAAGGACATCCCTTTCTACCTGTGCCAGTGATTTGTTTTCCTGGGGGTGATAATTACTGCAACATTTAATAAGCCTCTGAACCACTTTCTAGCATCAGAAGGTAAGTGTCTTCTCTACAGTGATCTAACTAAACAAAAATTGATTTGTAATACATGATAGCAAGTCACTGGCAAAGCTAATAGAAGTCTTAAGTTCCAGTTCTCCTTTTTAAGCCCTAACCATATTTCCCTTTTGCCTCCTCTTTGGTTTTTTTAAACATCATGCTCAGCTAAGGAAGAGCTTTTAACTTCAGTCATGCAGTTACCATGCCACCACCTATATGACAGATTCTGCTGTTTTGCAATTCATGAATACATTGTTTCCAGGAAAACACATTATTCCTTGAGCGCTAGAACTAAAAACCTTCTATTTGTTTTTTATGGTGGACTGTGAGCTCAAAATGAATGTTTTCATCATCTGAGGGATTCATAAGGTATTCTTCCTCTGTGGATTTGTTGTTGTCTCCATGGTCTTTTAGGATGCGGAAGTTAAAAACCAAGTTGTACAGCAAGACAAATATGAAGACTCAATCTAGAGTCAGTCTCTAGAGGATTCTGACCTGTGACCAAAGAAAATTAAGAAGCAGGCTTTTAGGGGATTTTTGTGGATTGCTGTCAAAAGTAAGCATGAAGTTGTACCCTCATATGTTTACATAGTTTGTGATCTGTGTGCTATGTGTTAAATATTACAGTTTCTTAGGTCTTTTGCACTGTCCCACATGGTTGCAGTTAACAAGGAGGAAGTGCTCAGGATGTGTACAGGAAAGGGCAGAGAAAGGGCATGGCTGGAACTCACCTGGTCAACGAAAATTTAGTACAACAGATATCCAGTATATGGCCAGATTTAAACACAGGATTCTAGGACTCATGCAGCTTGGGAATTTGAAGACGACTGACAAACCAAGTATGTTTTCATATGACAAATCCAAGAGGAAGCAGTTGTAAGGCGATGGATTGGAGAAATCTCAAAATCAGGAGAAAATGTATAGTGATGCTTCCCATGGAAACCAGGACAGCCCAGGGCTGAACGGACTGGCCTGGATTAGGGCTCAGAATTGCTGGATCTATCCTAGGTTCTCCTACTTGCTTTTTCTAACCATAGCTTAAGCGTAGTGGTATTGTCTCTCTTTGTAAAGTTCACTGCAATATTCCACACAAAGCATCCAGTTACCATTTTTAATTTCTGTATACCAGAGGTCCCTAAATTCAGTTTGTTTACATACACACAGGTGGCAGCAGCAATCTTTAGCTTCCTTAATAGACAAATGTTCTTTTGCAAATTTAGCTATGACTCAGACTTGCCATTACACTTTAATGACTCATATTCAGTAAGAGTTGAAGTGGAAAAACTGTACAATTTGTGTTTGTTTGTTCCTGTGGTAAGACAGGATGAGAAGGGATCCTCTACTACTCCAGGACATTATCAATTTTTGAATATTAAATTAAATTTTTGAATAGTAAGCACTTTAACTACATTTATAACAGACAAATGTTAAGCTAACAGTGTCCAAAAGCTATTATGGTTACTTCCTGTGTCTGAGAGGTGGATTGTTGAAGGAAATATTATATCATTGGTGTTCTGACTCAAATATATGAAAGAAACTCCAATAAGATTAGTAATTTATAAAGAATAAATAGAAGACAATAGGAGATTTCTCTTTTTAAATAAATCTTAAAATCTGATCTCTTTCACTAATTCAAAACAATACCAGATTTTATGATGGAGTAACTCCCCAAGGAGTCACCCTTCCATCTGTCTCATGACTGAACTGGATTCCCATTAATTTTCTGGTACCCACATTACAGTTAAACATTTCGATAGCAACAGTACTCAAAAGCAGAAGGATTAAGGTTCCACCATAGTGACTGCACTACAAACTCACATGCACACAGAATTGTGGCCCCAAAGGCTCATAGTTCAGAATATGCTATGCAGAAGGGTTGACTTTACATAGGCACAGAAAGAGTATTGCCAGCACCACAAGCAACACCCACAATTTCCAGTTACTATTCTCATAGACACATCTATTTAATGGATTGGTGTAGCAGGGAGGCCTCTGGAATATATCCAGAATGGGAGGTCATTTATGTTTAAACCAAATCAGATCTGTATGAGTGGAGTCTAAGCTACCTTAAGCTGTTTCCCCAAATAATACGGTAATGAGGATGAGCCATAGAGCATGAGATGTAACAATAACCCCCTTGGTGAAGATTTTCACTTCTGGAATCTGTTCTCCACCTTTGTGGTCTGACAAACAAGGAATCTGTCAGACCATACTGCAAATTGTATCTGTACACCTGATAACATGACTGAGAGGAGAGCTCTGGTGGTTTTAGTGGTCATAGTCCACCTTGCAAACTGTTAATATATTTTATACATGTACCTAGAATAATAAATAGCACATTATAAATAAACCAAACTAAATATACTCTTTATCAAATCTATTTATTATGTTACCTGTCCAAAGAAGATAATGAAGGCAGTTCAACTTGATGATCCTTATGGGTCCCTTCCAACTTGAGATATTCTGTGATTCTATGATTCTCAAGTAATTTTTACTAGAATAAGGAGGACATTTATACTAAAAGCTAAAGTAATTTTTAAAATTATTTTTAGACCTTTGCCATACACTGGCAGATTTGTCAAGGTGTACTTAAGATTAGGAGATAGACTTACTGGCATCACACCCACTCCCATGGTCCAGATAGTGTTACAAGAGCCACTGAGGCAGGTGGAACAGTCTAGCTCTCAGAATTGCCCTGCTTTGAACACCGCAAGAGAAGTCAGCATGAGGAAAGTGATCATGTCTCCATCTGCATGGCATTACAGATATCCTTAGTGGTTCCTTTAATGCTCTTTTCCCATTAGCCTGCTTCTCCCCTCTGATAATTTCAACACCTACAGGAGCCAGGCGAGAGATCTGAAGAAATGAGGGGGAGGTAGCCAGCCAGCCACCTTCCTATCCAGTCCTCCTCAAAGAGTAACAGGCAGCAACTGCATCTTTTGCCAAACTCAAGACAGGATAGACAAAGACAATGGAGGACTGAGATAATCTTAGTCATTAGAAGAGCAGAACAGACATGCCTGAAATTTCCAGATGGGAGGCAGTGGTCAGAGAGAAGTGGAGATGTCAAAGAGGGAAACAAAGTCACTGAGGTCAGTGGATGTCAGGAATGAAGCAGCACGGACAAGACATGAGGCAGAATCATGAGAAAAGTGTGGCACATATTGCTGTAGCTGTTGGGTGGCTGTCAAAAACAGCACAAACCAAACAGAGCATTGTGGGACTGGCTCTACGCTTCTCCTTAGGAATGCATGCCATACTGCTACTGCTGGTGGTGGCTACTTTCATTTAATGTAAAATTACCCACAGGCCATTTTTTAATGTCAACTCTGTCCTGGTTTCAGCTGGGATAGAGTTAACTGTCTTCCTGGTAGGTGGTACAGTGCTATGTTTTGAGTTCAGTATGCGAAGAATGTTGATAACACTTTTTTCAGTTTTCAGTTGTTGCTAAGTAGTGTTTAGACTAAAGTCAAGGATTTTTCAGCTTCTCATGCCCAGCCAGCGAGAAAGCTGGAGGGGCACAAGAAGCTGGCACAGGACACAGCCAGGGCACCTGACCCAAACTGGCCAACGGTGTATTCCATACCATGGGACGTCACGTCTAGTATAGGAACTGGGGAGAGTCGGGCTGGGGGAATCACTGCTCGGGGACTAGCTGGGTGTCGATCGGTGGGTGGTGAGCAATTGCACTGTGCATCATTTGTACATTCCAATCCTTTTATTACTACTGTTGTCATTTTATTATTGTTATCATTATCATTATTAGTTTCTTCTTTTCTGTTCTATTAAACCATTCTTATCTCAACCCAGGAGTTTTACTTCTTTTCCCGATTTTCTCCCCCATCCCACTGGGTGGGGGGGAGTGAGTGAGCGGCTGCGTGGTGCTTCGTTGCTGGCTGGGGTTAAACCACGACAACTCACATGCAACACAGTCATTTTTGGGTAAGATTTATACTGAGATCTAAGAAAACCTAAGAGATGCTAACATGTTCAGAGCTGAAACGGAGAAAGGCTCCTTGAAGCCTCACTTAACCAAGCTCCAGACTGCTAGCATTGCAATATTGCTCACGTGGCAAGCTGGGGACCCCACTTCACCAAACAAATAATTCACTGTAACGTATATTCCTTAAAAGATTGCTCTGGGTTCTCCCACTCTGCACACCTGCCTGTTGCAGGTTATCATCAGGGACTTCACCATAACACTTACCGTCTGTTATTCCCTCCCTACGATGAGGCAAGGGGGGTTGGTCCAACCGTCCTCCCTTGTGTTTTTTAGTGGGCCTCGGCCTCTGACTCTGATTGACAGCCGCACTGGTGTTGCTGTCAGTAGAAAAAGGGCTGCTCGGCCGAGGTCTCTGAGAGGAAGGATATACTTTGCCTAAACAAAAAGAGAAACCAGATGAAAAAAATGTTATTGCCTTGAAATGGGCTGTTCTATTAATGTCTGTTCTGAAACATTAAACCTGATCTAATTCTCAGAGGCAAGCAAGCGTCCCCTTGAGGTACCCACTAATGACAACAGCTTTAAGACACACCACTACAAGCGAAGTGAGAAACTTGGCATTCTTTTGTCTTTAACTTTTATCATTAAAATCATTCCATCTGTTGTGATAAAACTACTGTATGCCATGTAACTCCTACCTGCTCTGTGTGCTGAACAGATGTGTCATAACAACTCCACAGCCTTTAGCAGGGAAGGAAAACAGTTCTGCAATCATATCAGATTTATCTCCTCCTGCCTTCCACCTTCACGTTTGCCAAGCCAGATTCTCATTTCAGGGGCTCCCATATGCACTGTATATCTGGAGTAACTCCAGTGAGATAAACATAACTGATTTTGCAAGCTATGTAGCAGTGTAGGTTTGTATACTTAAGGGCTCTTTTTTCTCAAGAAATAAAAACGGGGGTATATTTAAATGCTAAAATGTTCTTGTTCATTTTCAGTATTTTTATATGTTAAAAAAATAATGTATTCTGATTGAATTCCTCAGATTTTTTTTTATATATATATAGACTAACCAAACTATGTGATTTCTCGTAAAAAAAAAAAAAAAAATCATATTTGATGCTGTTGTGTGGAGCAGATCATTAAAAGCATCATGCAGGAACCATGGCAGCACAGTTCATTTACTACATTCACTTTCTCTTACTTTGGTATTTTTATTCAGTTAACTTAACTAGGTTTATTGTTTAATAATTGATGAAAACTAAAGATCACCATTTTTTACTTTCTTTTTTTTTCATCTGTATGTCATTCTTGCCAAATATCTTGGGTATGTTAACATTTTAATTCATTTACAACTGGTACTTAAAATTCTTACATGTTTTAATCCTATCTGCAGTGGAAAATGTATAAGCCAGGCAGAACTTCTGCTCTTTCAGTGCTATTGTAGGCCCAAATGGTGCCAGAGTTGATGGAAAGTAGCAAAATGGCTGTTTGTTATTTTACTAGTCAACTGACCCCAAGCTAGTAAGGAGCTTTTTTATCTTCTGGTTAATTTAGACCAGGGTCTACCCTGCTGTGAGTTATGTTTTCTACTAAAACCTTTCAACAGATGCGCTTACTTCCAACATGCCATCATACATGAACTGATCTAGATAAGCCTAATCAGGAGTAATATGCTACCTGCTACACTATTTGAAATATTCTCAGTGCAAAGAGGGCAAAGTGAAAAAAGTAGCCATAATCTTTCTAACATGGTGTTTTGCATTAATACATACATGTTAGAATAACATCTCAGTATTTGACTGCAGAGATTTCCTCACTGTCTCAGGCTTGATATTCTAACTTCTGACTGATGTGCACCCTGAGGAGGACTCTGCTCTTAGGCAGGCTTGTCTCCCAGCTGCGTGTCACTGCCAGCTATTGGAGGTTACCATGTTTGAACCCCTCATGTGGACATTCCCTAACTCTCCTCTACCAAAATAAGCCAAACTGAACTTAAATGGTATGAAAAGTATGCCTTTGCTAAAACCCGGCTCATTTTAACTGAAATGGGTTACAGAACGCCCACCCAAGCAGCTAATTCTGGAGCTGGGAGAAAGCAGTAATAAGCATTTGGGGGAAGGCTGGAAACATTAACCTCTATAGCTGGCACAGCTGCAGCCAGACAAAGACAAGTGATCAAGCCCTTGTTTCACAGATAAGGATAAAACAGCAGATGAACACAGACAAAATATTAAAATTTCATTTAAAAATAAAAAAAAGACCACTAATGCAAAGAAATTCAGATATGAGCCTGAAATTCCATCCTAGCTCACAGCACATTGCACAGATGTCTTGCAAAAATAAACTCGCAACATGCAACTGCAACTAGTGAGTGCAGGACGAAGATTCTTCACACTTGACTAAAGAAATGTAATTATTCATTCAGAATGTTGGATTGAAAAAGAAATAGACACCAAACATTCCTTCTTTTATCCCTCCATGAAAATCAGGGAAAATAAATAGCACTGACCTAAATCAGACATGGGGCAAACACAAATGATGTGCAGGCTCCGAAAACACATTTTTCAATGCACCCAATAATGATTACAGCATCTTGTATTTGTATGCAGTCCTTCCAGTAAGAACTGCTGAGCAGTATCAGACTCTCTGTAGTAGACTTGGTATGTTTAAGTGGAGGCAAGAATGAATCCACTAATTCTTGATTTAATTTCCAAGGGCGTTAAAAAGGAAAACTGTATGAACTTCACAGCAAATCACACGATGGCTTCTGGAAACTGGAATCAAAGTGTCTGGCAAGAGAGACACCTTGCACCTGCACTTACCAATGCCTCTTATGCTTGGCAATCAAATGCACCCACGTGAGGCTATCAAGTTGGACTTCTCCTTTCGTATCAGTGAGAATATTTCACAGCTGTTCTGAATGGGTGAAAATAACTGTCCAGACTCCAAAGGAGTAAAGAGTCAGGACCTTCAGAGTCCCTCCAGAGCAATGAACAGAAATAATACTGCTGCTTCACCACTACAAGACGCCATTTTGCACGATGGGGGGGTTGCTGCAGTGCAGCAGGTCCATAATAGGCATGTCTGATTGATCCACACTGCCCTGGGAGGTATCATATCGTAATGAAATTGCAGTAAGCACTGGGGAGTTATTTCCATTTGCTGAGGTTTTTGTGAGGAAAAGAGGGGAGGGCTGTTTGTTTACATGTGGGTTTTATTTTGTTTCCATTTTGCTTGCTGGATCATTAAGAGAGTAAGAAGGTAATAATCATAAAATCTCTACCACAACCGTTGAATACTTTGTCGTATCCTAAACTCTAATAGTCTGTCCGAGGAATAACATGCAAGTATTCAGTTTAAGTGCATTTGTGACCTAATTAAGCTAGGAAAATATAACTGACAAGAGAGCTCTCATCCTTTCCTTGTGCTTTCCATTTACACAGCTACAATAAGAAATTATATTTATTGAAAAGTGTCTATGTGTTTGTGTGTCTATTTACTTTTGTTAGGTGTGTGTTTGTGGTGGAAACTGTACTTCTCGATGGCCTGATACAAGTGACATTAACTTTGGGTGAATCTTTGCATTAGCTTTTACTGAGGCCAAGAACACCACCAAAAAACAGGTTGGGAAGGATTTACTCCTTTTATTCAAGACTGTTTAGGAGACTCTTCCAGCAAAATAGGGTATTTTAAATTATAGTTTGGCCAAATGTGCCCATAGTAGATCAGTGAAGGTCTACATCAGGTTTTGTTTTGTTTTGCTTTGTTTTTTTCAAATGATGAGACAGCTTTACTGAGTCAATTTTCCACTAGTGTAAGAAGCAAGTGAGGGTTTTAACTACTTTTTAACGGTGATATAACTATCTTTGAAGGATGATTATGTCTGACCAAAGTCAATGGCAAAAGACCCAGAGATCTGAGAAACGCTGTATCTGTTCACTCTGTAGTTTGTTGGCAACATAGGACTTCGCAATCGATTCTTTTCTTCATTCCTAACATTCCTAAAAGGCAGTGTTTGCCATGAAGTCACTGCATGCAGTAAGCCTGCAGTTTTCAGCCCTAGCATGTGGAGACATTTCTCATAAATGCATACATTTTACTGAAGGATAGACTTCATACCAGACTAATAGTAAAAAAATCTAAATTATAGGAACCTGTGGGCAGGAATTGGCTAAGAAAGCATAACGAAAATATGATCCAAGTTCAAACTTTGCTATTAGATTTGTAGATTTAAATAATTAGTTATTTTTGATAAGACTAAGCACATGCAAATACATTCTTTTTTCCAGAATATTTAAAAATAATTTTTACTTATCTTTTTTTTTGCTAGAAATAAAACATATGGAGCTTTAAAAATATGAACTAAATTATGTTTACTTTTCATTAATTCATTTTAGAAGATCGGCTGTTTTCAAAAGCAACAGTCACTTTACCTTTGTTACATTTAACTTGGCAGATTTAGTTGACAATAATTAAAATTAAATTTTATCAATATATATTAACTTATTAAGTATTTTTAAATCAGCTATTAATAAGGCTTTTAAACAGTTTGTATTGTTAACAATAAAAGCACACCAATTTACCCCATGCTTAGAAAAACTTCACAGAAGAATACACTTTTGCAAGAAGAGATGCAACAGAAGAGCAGGGATGGAGATAACTGTTTAAACATGATGTTCATCAGTGGAAATGTAAATGACTGTGAGCAGATTTTGCAAAAAAATGAAATCATCAAAGACTGCATGGCAGAATTAGTGATCTCTTCACTGAAATATTAAACGAAGCATATGTCAGTAAATCTACAGCAGAGTCAGCACAGAGAGAAACTGCAGCAGACTGAAGGTGCAGATTAAAAGCTTGTGCTATTCACTACTTCAAATCACTAAAATTGAAACATAATGCAAGGTTTCTTTTAAAATATACTGATAAAAATATCTCCATCCACCTTATTCCATGCATGTTAGACAAGTGTGAGACGCAGGTTCACTGAAAAGAAGAGAGGAACAGGCAGAGACACCCTTCATGCAGAAAGCATCAACTTTGAGTCTACAAACCTGTTCTTGTCAGGCTGGTTCCATCCAGCCTAAAACCAGCTTTATCTGCTGCTGCAACCAGTGCTTGTGCAAAACTGCCGCTGGTAAAGATCGAGTCATCTGAGGAGCTACCTACGCTAGATCTATGACTAGAAAAGTTACGGTCCTCATCAGACGCAGAACCCCATCCATTTACCATTGAACCTAAAAACAAATGTAGGGGTCTAGTGAGTTGTGCACATTTGATATTTTTTGATCATCTAAAGCTTAAAGACCCACTTAATATGTCCTTTCTCAACAGGAAACTCAAAATTCATTTGACAGAGCTTGATACAAAAGAGCAGTACCCATCTAAAGCTTAAAGACCCACTTAATGTGTCCTTTCACAACAGGAAA